CGGGCTGCCGTGCTCCACCACTCCCCTCACCCACCAGTAGGCCGGTGGCGGCTCGAGATGATAGGCAACCCGCCGCGTGTGCCCTTTTTGCCACGGCCTGCTACGACCGGTTTAACGGCGTGTTACGTAATGTCCCGTCTGTAAGGTGAGCGGCCCGCTTTGGGGCTGAGCCGCGCCCAGAGAGGGGGCACGCAAAGCGACGCAAAGCGAGGCAAAGCCAGTCCAGTGGGAGGGATCTTAGTAATCTCTTTGAACCTCTGCGACGGCCGTGTCAACAGGCAGGCCAGCCGAGGAGCCCCACTGGAGAGTCCGGGCAAGTGGACAAGGCCGCTCGATCCAGCCATCCAGCCGCCCTCCCGTCCTCGCGAACACACGAGGGGCGCCAACGGAAAACGCAAACTCATCCCGGGGAAATGATCAATTATGGCGAATTTGCATGAATATTGACTCATCGGCGGGAAGATTTATAGGCGTGTGTGCGAGCAGGGCCCAACGGCATTGGCCCCCGCAGATAAGCAGGACAATGACGGAGCCGCCCTCAAAATGGAAAGAAAACAACGGCGGCGTATTAAATATGGAAACTGGCGAATAACGCAATTAGTGTGCGCGGAAAATAGGCGCGGCGGGCTGACTCTGCCACAAAATAAAACTGCGGGTTTTTGCGACGGCTGCAAGGTCACAGCCAGCTTTGCCTCCGGTAAAGCGTCGCTCGGACCGGATGACCCAGTGGAGCCTGATTTGAAACACATGCGCGCCTTTTATTCCGTGGCCAATGGCGTGGGAGGGACTCTGGTCATTCCTTTGATGCTCACTTGACTTGAGTTACGAAATCGCGTTAGTTTTCAAAGAGCCGTCCTTGTGGCTGTTTCCATTGTATTGAACAAGCCAAACTTGGGGCGGACGCGGGTCGGGCGGGCCGAGGCGAGGGTGTGGCGGGGCGTGGTGGCGCGTTGCGGGGCGTGGCGAGGCAGGGGCTCCGCTCCGTATACAGTACAAGAAAAAGACTTTCGATCGGGAGCAGCTCGGATGTGGCCAGCGTCCGTGAACAACGCCACGCCGCTATGGGGGCCACAAATTTTTATTTGTTTGTTCTATTTCAAACTCGACTCCAGGCAGAAAATAAAACACCGAGAAACTGAACTAAGCAATAAAGACAGAGAATAACCTTTTGATGGAACCATCGGAGCTGCTGCGGTGGTCCAGCTCGCCTAACCAAAACTAAGGAGAGGAAGTCGTCGGCGCGAATAGGTGCCGGCGTCGTTGGGCCGCAATGCCCCTCGCGGGAATCGAGTGTTTAACATTTTTTCCACGGCTACCGACAGCTCACATTAGCAGGGCCCCAGAGGTGTAGTTGGGGTCCGGGCCGCACGGCTCGGCACGGCCCGGCGCCCGTTACCCTGGTAACTATGTCGTTGAGCGTCACCACATTCGCCAAAAGTCTTTCCAGGTAAATGGGTGTCACAGGTCGGACCTGGGGCGGAGCCAGGACCAGGGTTACCCTTTCGGGACCTTGGCAAAACGGAAAATGGACGCTTCGGGCGTGATTGAGTCAGCAGCAGCACAGCGCGTTCCCTCAAGGGCGACGCGGGGTGAAGTGTTTTTGTTGTTTTCTTTTTCGTCCGCTAGTCCGAGACAAGTTGATTGAATAATTCAGTGGCGGCAGGACGGATGCCCTTTGCTTTACAAGTGACCTTGATTCATGCAGGTCTGCTGAGTTACTCCTCACTCGCCCAAAAAGAACAACACGGGAAATCACGTTTTCGGATTCGCCGCTCTCCTTCATTATGTGTCCATTCAACACGACTTGGAAAAATACAACAAAAAATCCTGCGTACGCGATGATCGTCCACATGGTGTTTGCGACGGGCAGCGCTTGCACGTACGCTACCAAATTCTAACTCGAATCAGCAAAGAGTGTCCATAGCTTCCACTTCCAGGAATCCCTCGTCCGAAATGGAGGTCGACCGATGGGGCGGAATGGGCGGACGTGTTCGCACCCCTCCGCCATGCCTCCGCCAAGGCGCTTGCCCAGGCGCTCGCCAAGGCAGCAAGGTAAACGAGAATCTTCTCTGCCCGACCATCTGCTATGCTCCAGATCCCCACTGGACCACTGCGCATGTGTCACATCAGAGTATCGGGCCAACTCTCTAATTTACTTGCCGATTATATTTAAAGATGGCGGAATACTGTCATCAAAACCTTAATTTGATTGGCTTCCAGCGCTGGTGCGGTAACAATAACGCGAGGTGCAGATATCAAAAACAAAAACTAGACCAGCGGTTCCCTACATTGGGGTGGTCGCGGCGAGGTGGCTGGGGTCGCGGTGGCGGGAACAACTTTGCAGCAATACTGCTCCCAAACTAAGGCAGATAATCACACTCCGTAACAAAGGCATGCTAAAGGAAGGTCCAAAGACCAATTGCCCGTTGTGGGAGGACGAAATACCGCCTGGGATCAGACGCAGTGGCTGTTTAAATGCCGCAAAGTTGATCAAAACGGTCACAAATGTCTTTGAAAAAACGTGTTTTGGGCCGACTTTAAGCATCCACTGCGTCCTATCCGAAGCGGTATTTTGTCCTCCCTCAACGGGCAATTGGCCTTAGTACCTTCCTTTAGCATGCCTTTGTTACGGAGTGCGATTATCTGCCTTAGTTTGGGAGCAGTACTGCCGCAAAGTTGATCAAAACGTTACCAAATGTCTTTAAAAAATAGTGTTTTGGGCCGACTTTAAGCAGCCTTTGCGTCTGATCCGAGGCGGTATTTCGTCCTCCCTCAACGGACAATTGGTCTCTGGACCTTCCTTTAGCATGCCTTTGTTGCGGAGTGCGATTATCTGCCTTAGTTTGGGAGCAGTATTGCCGCAAAGTTGATCAACCCACGTGTTTTCAGACATTTGTGACCGTTTTGATCAACTTTGCGGCAGAACTGCTCCCAAACTAAGGCAGATAATCGCACTCCGTAACAAAGGCATGCAAAAGGAAGGTCCAAAGACCAATTTCCTGTTGAGGGAGGACGAAATACCGCCTCGGATCGGACGCAGTGGATGCCTTAAGTCGGCCCAAAACACGATTTTTCAAAGACATTTGTGACCGTCTTGATCAACTTTGAGACACTACTGCTCCCGAACTAAGGCAGATTATCGCACTTTGTATCAAAGGAATGCTAAAGGAGGGGTCGCGTGGGGTCGCGAAATTTTTCCTGGGGGTCGCGGAAATTTTTGGCTACAAATTTGGGGTTGCAAACCGAAAAAGGTTGGGAACCACTGAACTAGACGCTGTGAGCACCACGCTGGTCTGAGTTAGCCGAGACTGGCCGCTCCCAGTGTAAGCTTTCTTGCGAATGTTGGCGGGGGCCTAGGGCGGAGCGCCGCGGAATATTCAAATCTGCGGCGACGTTCACGGCCGAGACGTAATAACACTTCTCCTTGGTATTTACAGCTGCTCGAATATAAACACGAAAGCAGGCCTGACGACATCAACAACAAATTTATGCGATGAATGTAGGCCGCGCCATTGTGATTATGAATGCCCCCTTTGTGCGTCCAAGGCTAAGAGAGAATCCAGCAATGTTTCCTTCTCCCCCTTTTCCCCAATAACGCTGCTTTTCAGGATTCGCGCGATTTTAAATTCTTCCTTTGTTTCTCGCTCTCACTCCCACTTGATGGGAATTACGGATCCCCCGAGGAGGACTCCGTCCATACCGTTTCCCTCTTTCGACGAGGAACAATAATTTGGCGTCCCGCAGGACCTTTCCCTCATCGTGTTGCGCGCAGCTGCGGCGCAGGATTCATACGTCAGCTGTCACATATTCAGATTCACATTCACCACGTGACAAAAAGTTGAGCATCCTACGGCGTGTCCAGAAAAGTTGAGTTATGCCCCAAGCAAACTCCAATGAAGCAATGCACATGCTCACACCAGAAAAAGGGCATTGTGCACTTACTGCTGAAATTTTGATGCATTAAAATAAAAATACAGGGAACTACCGTAATCCAGTCACATATGGACGAAATGCAAAATTGCTAATACGCGCGCTCTTCAAACTAACACTGTAACAAACACTGCACAAGTGCAGCGAGTTTACTAGTCTTCCTTCCTTTCCGTGATAACAAATAAACCATTGTGACGCAAAAGAAATCAGCATCTGTGATCACTGGAAGTATGAACTAAATATCATGAACTGCACGAAATACAAACTCCGATACACTTGTATCACATTTGAAAGTGTGCAACCTGTACACAAATGGAGGGACGACAGACGGTAAAAAAACGCTAACGCTAACGCTAACGTGGAAGCAGATGACATTCTAATGAGAATGTTTATTTTAATATGCTTGTTTATCACTTCATAGCTGCCGGGCCCTTTCACGTTTACGCTCTCGTTGTTCTTCGGTCAGCTTCCTGGGGGCCATAGCTTTGGGCAGTGATTGCCGCTTCACGTGCTTCTTCCCACATTTCTTGTCTGTGTACTCCACACACGCAACGCGCTCCTTCGGGCCAGCCGGCGACACTGTTGTTGTCATAGAGTAATGAACTCCGTTTATGAGAGACCCCACGGCCACGCTATTCCCCCACTCGCTCGAAGAAAGCAATATGGCGGTACTGGGCGTGACGTCACGTTCACATCCTTTCATACCAACGTACGATACAAAAACGGAATAAAATCGTGGGCATTTTTCTCCCAACGCTGTGTTTTTTAGTTCAAGCTTATTTTCGACAACATCAACTTAGGTACCCCGCTACTTTGAAGAGGAAAGATTGCCTCAGTTAATACAGTTCACAGTAAATGTTTTTATTTTAGTTTTTAGAGTTCTGAGGATGTTTTTCAAAATTCTGGCTGAAATTTCAGCGAAATTTGAGATTTTGGTATTCTTTTTGTTTTTGAGTCAACGAGGTAGTGAATTAAGGCGTGCAGAGGTGGTTTCGCTTCCATACTTGTCAACAACATAACCTCATCACGCACCAGTGCTGGGGCTGGGTGGTGCAAAAGATACATACAAATTGCGCAGAATTCAGTTTTAATTCTGAATAGCAAACAGACAAATAATTGAACAGGAAACCTCTACTTGATTGACTAGTACATGGTATGATGACAAGCAAGAGAACACTCAAAAATAAATAAATTGACTGGAACGTTTAAAGTTCGGTCACACTAAAATAATAAAACAAAAAGAAAGTAGTCAGCAGACAACACATAGTTCAACACTAAAAAATATCATGAGAAATGTGGTTTGAATTCTAAACCTAACATACACACCTTGCAGACATACTTAGTATGTTTCCATGCACCAATCAAGGAAATTTCACAGAAGCAAGAGACAAATCCTAACTATTAAATGGTTCACACAACTTAAAACTAATAAAATACTGAAAACGATAAAAAATGAGTAAGGTATGACGTCTCATCAAAAGATAAGACACAAACAGAAAATGAATACACATTTAAAGAACTGAATCTGCACCTTGAAGGAAGCGGTGAGCCGTGAAGTTATTCCCCTCCCTCCCAACAATCAATATGTAAATTTATGATTAAAAGCTCTCTAAGTTAGGGACCACATCCACAAAAAAGATGGAAGTGAGAAGCTAGGTCCGATCACAGATGTCGTCACAGATGTTACACAAAAAGTGGAACCTCATGGTTCACAAGAGAAAAATAAGAATATAAACACAAAGGTATCACATAAAATATTACAATTCGCAATCTTGACAGATGAAGGCAAAGTTTCTTATCACAAAGATGGTAACTGAGGTTCCACAAGATTTAAGACTTAGCCCATGCTACGAGGAAGTCCAAAGAGTCCCAGGGAAGGAGTTCTCATTGATTTGTACAGCTCACAGCTCAACTGCCACCCGCTGACATTTACTGCACCACTACCTGTAAGAAAATAAAATGGACCAGATTAATACTAAAACTGAGAGTGACAACCAGGACATTCTACATACAAATGTACTCAAGTCTCAATAAAACAACTTACCACTGTGCACCGTGGTGGCTCGACTTTCAGATTAGCTGAGATGGCACGAAGAAAACCTCTGTCTTCCTTGTGGCGGTACAAAACCAAGTTCACGAGCTCCCACTGGCTGTCAACTGCGAATTTTTCAGACAGAATTTTAGTAAACCCTTGAATTAATGTTAGTAGATGGAATTCTACTCACGTGACTCCCATGTGGGAGGCCTGAAAAATAAATATTTAACCCCTACAAACATAAACATGCTGCTCATAGAGCACCCGTCATGAACCTACGCAACATGAAATTTTAAGAGTAAGGTGGAGACTTGCGGGGGTGTTGCACTTACTTGGATCATCCAGAAAGTGAATGTCAACATTCATCTTTGAACCAGAGTCAGGCTTCAAGGATGCCTGCTGAGATGAACCTCCAGCATGCACTCCGGCAGCTGACACTTGATTGAGTCCAAGTATCTGAAGGGGTCTCGGAGTTGACGCAGACAGAGAAGTTTGAAGCTGACATTCACTGGAGTCGAGCTCCCTTCCACACTGATTCTCCTTCGCCATACTCTGAGGCCATTGCTCCACCAGTTCATCAGGAAGGGGACACACTTCAGGCGGGAATTGTGAAGGGACGGCAGAAGTCACCAATGTAGTTTTGACTTTGTTCTTCCTGATTTCGTAGTCACGAAAATGTGCACAGCAAATGAACTTGGCTTTCACCTGTTGGGTGGTGAGGGAAAGCAAGTACTTCGAGCCCACAGCTTTCAGCCATTTCCTGCATCTGAGAGGAAATTGCACTTAGAACAGCATGCTTTTCGAAACAATAAATATAAACAATTTATGTGCGGTTATGTTACCTAGGCAAGTCCGCAGCAGGAAACTTGAACAACTTGACGGTTGTGTTGAACCTGTCCGGAATCTTCTGGTTTACGCATCCTGGGACCCAGCATCTCGCAGTATCATAAGAACCACCAGTCGGCATTTCCAGAAAATGACCAAAAAGTCCTCCAATGTTGATGTGACGATGAGCAGCGCGGAAAAGGACGCTTCTTTCTGTTGCTGGAGCAACTCAAATAACGCAGTGATGCAACCTCGCGCATCACCCCGAACGACTTTCGAGTGATGGTTTTAAATTAACGTACACGATCATCACCTGCCACTTGAAATACGTGTGATCATTTTAAGATTCCAAAAAGCATATATTTGTATTATTTTGACTATTACTGTGGGTTAAAAGGTCCGAGAATTGCAGCCTTGTTTTTTATTTAGGTTGGTATGAAAAGATAGGAACGTGACGTCACCCCTGCGCTCGAGCCACCGGCCCCAGCCTATCCCGTGCAGACCCCCTGGTTGTTGTTGTGCAGTGCGAGGCCCCCGCTCCCCTCGCCTCCAGCGGCATGCGGCGTCGCCGGCGGCGGGGCCACGCTGCATCCTGCATCGGTATCGGCCGAGCGAAGCCGACCTAGCTCCGAAGGCGGTACGAGCTGAGCAGGCCACGCTAGGCCCCTGCTTGAGAGCCGAGCCGAGCCGGCCGAGCCTTGCCTAGGCACGCAGCACGCCGCGCCACTGCGCCCAGCGCTGGCGGCGGGGAGGTAGAGGGGGGGGGCCCGGCCCAGGCCGGCTTCACGCACGCATGGTCCCGCCCCGCCGAGGCGGCTTCACGCACGCACGGTCCCGCCCCGCCTTAAAACTATCTCGAGAGTAAAAGCAAGCTGACACCTTCATTGCAATTGTATAGCTTGCTTTTGCTTTAGCAACGGTGTCATCTGCTAAAAACAAGAGGGGCATTTAGGCCGAATGCAACGGACGTGACAGGTGCGTTGCCGTGCATCAAGTAGCGCCAAGAGGTGCGTGGCCCTGTTGAGGGCCGAGCCCCGTTGAGGGCCGAGCCCCGTTGGGGGCCGAGCCCCGTTGGGGGCCGAGCTTGGGACGGACGGGCAAATATTTGGAAAGAATGCGGAAGACGGAGGAGCCCACGCCGCGCCGCGCCAAGGGGAGGATAGAGGGGTGCTCCGCAGTGCTCCGGTTTCCGGTTTAGTGCGCTGGCCGCCGCGCTGCTGGAAATGACGGCCGCTCCTCGTCGCCCAGGTGCTTCATCAACACGTCCAGGACGCTCAGCGGGGCGCTCGACGGCGGGGCGGGGCCGCGGGACGCATACAAAGTGTTTCATTCCCCGCGGCCGAGGATCTGTTACCTATTGACTTAACGTGATCGGGGTTCGATTCCAGGTGCAACCTACACCGTGCCGGGTTCTACCACGGAAGGTTGAAAAAATAGACGGACCCGAAACAACAAAAGAGGGAACGAAACGCTCTCCCAGTGCTCCAACCGCCCTGTGATCCCAACGCCTAAAACAGCAGCAGAGGCCCTGGCCAACTGTTCTATTTTTTCCTTTCCGCCTTTTTGCGGGTGTACACGACACACGGGTCGGGCAATGCGTCTCGCAGCGAAGCGCGGCGCCGCGCCTCGTGACAATAAATTAAGCACCACCAGCCATAAAGTCTAAGATCGAAGACCTGGCGGCCCTGGCGGCCCCGGCCGGGCGAGCGGCCCGCGGCGGCCCGGGGACCCATTCCGGCCGGAAGAGCGCCAATCTTTTCTCCATATGCAAACAACTTGGGTCGGGAATGTCTTTGTTGGTCGCGGATGACGGGCCGCGCTGGAGCAGGCTCCACTGCAGTGCAAGGAGGGCGCTGCCGAGGCGGTCGAGGCCGTGGGAATGCACACGCGTGTGTGACGGGCCGTGGCACAGGCCGTGGCACAGGCCGTGGCAGCGGCCGTGGCCGGCAGGTCGTGAGCCCCCGGCGCCGGGGCCGCCTGAACCGGCCGCCACTATGATGAATGGCCGTTTTCGTGTGTTTTGGCAGCGCATTTTCGGCGTTTGCTACCGCGGCCAATAACTCACGACGCTAAAACCCGCTACCACAGCTACCTCCACCGCCGATGTAGTAGTCGCTGTTGTGTTCCTCACACACAAGACAAGCAAACAAACAGGCAAACAAACACGTCACGGCGGAAACCTCTTCCGTATTGCTATTGATTTCATGGGTTGAATGGCGCGGAAAATTCGGGAAAACGACAGTCGGAACTGGGACTTGGGGGAAAGCATGACGGACGACGCCTGCACGCTCCGTCGGGGAGTGGAAGGCGGGAGGACGCGCCCCTCGCGCTCCGCGGCGCTGCATTGAGATACCTGCCAAAGTGCTCCCCGATGTAACCCTTCCCATTGAGCTGGACACCAGCTTTCGATTGGGCGAAGAGAGAGCCTGTCTCGATGCTCATTGGGCCCGTTTTCGCGAAGCCGGCCGGAATCCACGAGGGAGGAGACCAGTGCCAGGAAGTAGGTCAAGGTGACGCCTTCTGTAAAGGGAGCGGCTCGAAAATGTGTTTAACGCACCCCACCCTGCCACGCAGAGGAAAGGCTTATGGTGTGGATCACCGCTTCCACGTCAGGCAGCACGTCGCCCTGTCAAAGGAGCCCCAAAAGTGGAGCCGCCCACCGTGCGTCAGGACGCCGTATTGACATGGGACAGTTGAGCAGGCCGATGCACACACGTCACCGCTCTAAATCGACTTCCCACACTCTCCTTCACCAAACGTCGCGAGTCTGCTTCATGTTCCGTGAGAACGATTCGCTGCGATCGATAAATACACCTCTGTAAAAAGGAGAAGGCTCGCTTTTTCCTCGCATCACAGAGCGAGTTTGCCTGCAAAGTCAGATAGCCTAATTAACTTTTCTTTGCTGGGTATACAGAGGAGGGTGCCAGCTACAGCACTCCGCTTTCGTCAGCAACTAACGCCTCAGGCAAAATTAAAGACGACCACTGATCAATCATCGTTCGGAAAAACAGAATGCAAGAGGTGGGGACGCTGGATGGAGAAAGCACGCCCCAAAAGAAGCTGTCTATCTTACTTCCAAGTGGCCACTCCTCCCCTTTTCGTTTGCCGTGGGCGAAGGGCGCGACCTGCCTGTGCTATAGGACATGTCATTCCGCTCCAGGATGTCCAGAGAGGGTGGGACGGAATCCAATGTGAAAACGGTTATGTGGAACAAAATCAAAACTTAACTTTATCCAGAACCTTACGTAGACTTTATGCACAGCTCCATTCAGTCAGCAGTCTTTTTAAGTTGCAGTGTGCGTGACCGTCCGAGAGCCAACCTACCCAAACAGCTAGCCCGCCATCGCTTTGAAGTCGGTCACTGTAATGCTGATGGTGGTAATTACCAGCAATCAAAGCATAACCTTTGGTGGTGACGTACCACGCCTCACAGACCAATCATATGCATACACGACCCTGAAACACGGTCGTCCGACGTAACATTTCCTCGTTCCTTTGCTACGCTCTGCTTTTTCGCCACACTCACCTGCGCGAGCCACACCTATTGCCGTTATTGCTGGGATTAGCATTGAAGCGCCTCTTTCCGAACGTGCTCGCCGCAGCGCCGTGGCAAAGGCCGCCGCCCGCTTCAATGGGCGCGCCAGACGGGGCATTGCAGGAGACTGGCTAGTCCGCTGTCCAGCGGGCGCAGCGAGTGTGCGCGGGTATTCCAAACCACGGCGAGACAAGGCCTCTTTCAGAGCCACATTCCGGCGCGCGCTGGCCGGAAGGGGGCCACATTCCGGGCATTAAACAACAGCCAGAGCCAGAGAGGTGCACGCGAGGAAAAGTGGTGTTGATACTTGGGCAACGACGAATGTTGGGGGCGTGAAGCGGACGGGGTAGGGCGAGTTAGCGAACGCGCCACACCAAGGCCGCCCCTGAATGGCGTAATCCTGGCCGGCCCGACTTCGTTATGCAACTGTTGATGGAATTACCGCCGCGGCGATGGCCGTGCGGATCAGGCCGGAGCGTTGGGCGGGGTCCGCGTAAACCAAACTCCGACAGGCCTCAAACAAGCAGGCCTCGCTCCAACTGCCGGGGCTGCAAATTCCGTTCTCTGCGCACTGCGGGGTTGCCTGCGAGGCGCGAGTTCAGGGCGGCCAACACACCGAGGGACTGTCGGGGGAGGAAGAAGCGCGAGGGGAGCGGTGGGAGACTTGCACCTGCTGACGGGTATTGGAACCAGCTGTCGGGGGCATCAGGGCATCAACGGTGGCCCGAGGCCTGGTGGCCGGTGGGCCACGGAGGGGCTGGTTGGCGGTGGGTCCGATGGGCCACGAAGGCTAGGCAGAGGGTTATTGAAAGCCAGCGACGATGCTCCTGGGGGATCGCACTCCTAATTGGTGGGTCGCAGGGGGCCATTTGAAGCGCCCTCCTCCACCACGGCCCGCCACGGCCCGCCACGGCGCACTGGCCATCTGGAGAGCGAGGAGTGGAAACATACCGACCGCAGAGGGGAGGCCCTACGGGCGGCGCGGCGCTCCGCACTGCGGCACAAAAACGGCTCACGTGTGGCTTATAAAGGTCGGGCAGCGCAGCGCCGCGTAAACAGAGGCTCATTATGGAGGCCGTGTCACCGCGGCCGCCGAACTTTACAGCGAGACTCGAATGGCTGGGCGCGCCAACTGCACTCAGATAGTTCGCGCTGCTAGTTCAGCACATCCCCGAGTTTATGACGGAGGGCAGGGGGAGTGGCCAAGTGCAATCAACGCGAATACGTTGGCAGGCCCGGCGGGCCCCGCGCTGAGCAAAGCCCAGTGCGCACTGCCCGGCAGGCCCGGCACGTTGCACAGTGAGGCAGCCACAAAGGGCGGTGGCCCTCGCTGGGGCTTAGGGAGCTGGGTCGTAATCGGGACGCCATTGGCACTCTTGCGTCGTGGGCCTTCGCTATGGTTCCGTCGGAGCAGCGACCGGAGCAGCGAGCCGACCCGACAAACAGCCCGCCACAAATCATCGGAACGAAACTCAAAGCGCGTCTCTAGGTCAAAGTGCCATGGATACTCAAATCCAACTTTTGATATAAGTGACAGGTTCCTCGGTCATAGCAGTCCAGTAGCGAAGCCGGGCTGTTTGTCTCTCATCTCATAAACAAGGTGGCAGAAACCAGTTCTCTTGGGTCTTTTGCCTTAAAGTGAGGTAGAGGAATGGTCGTCGGGCCTACAGTGTGGCAGCGGACTCGCCGTCTGGCCCAGCGCGACAGAGGACTCTGGCCTACAGTGCGGCAGACGCCGAAAAGGCCGCCAATAACGCGTGGCGCAGGCAAAGGCCCGGCTCTGCAGTGGACCGAAAATTCCTTGTCACACCAAGACAAAGGGGCCCAGCGCTGCGTGCGCC